AACATTATTTTGAAGCTTATTTATTTATTTTAGCGGAGCCAAATTTTAAGCTCAAATATTGCTGCGTTTGGTTTAGAAATAGATATGACATTCGAAAACCAGGAATATTTTTTAAATATGATATATTAGTATTGGGTAAACACAGCGTCATTATAACACAAAAATATATTTTAAATTCAAAATGTTTTGCTACTGGGAAAATGTGTAATATGCAATTTTTAATTTTTTTTAAATAAGTGCAACGAAATGTAGTAGTTTATATCATTAGATAAGTTTAGATGTATACTATGTAATGATTACTAAATATGTTTATTATTATATATTACTAATGCTCGAATAATCATACACAAGTAAAACAGTAATACAATTATTGATAGAATATTAAAATTTCTAGATAGAAAAACACATCAATGTATTTTTTGCGTCAACAAATATGTACTTTTAATGACAAAACTACTAATTCATATAAATTACTATTTAATGATGTAAATTATTTCATTACTGATTCTTGTACATTTTTGCAAACATATTCAATTTTTAATTTATTATACTCAAAAACCCATTGAATTCATATTACGCGCTACTCGTTTATTTTAAATGCAAGCAGGTTTTCATTAATTCAAATAACTGGTCTACATCTAACATTCGCAAAGACTGATAATACATCTATAGTTATAAAACGTGACAACGAATAAATTAGAACATAAATTTAATAGAAATCGTATTGTAGAGCTGCTCATCATGAATTTGAAAACTTTTGTGTTATCAACATTTACATACATAATTCTAAAGAATATATATTTTAAACTAGGTACAGCGTTACGGAACACAAACAAAACAAGAAATTGTTGGAACTTTTACTTCTATCATTTCGAAATTAATTCAACAATAATATGATGTTATCTGAAAATGAAGGTTATCGTGTAAAAATGTATAAAATAGTTGTTTATTTCATTTCATCGAAATAGCGTTACCGTGAGAAATGTTTTCGATTACTTTGTCATATAATCGAAATGTTTGGTTATTGATACTTGAATGTCTTGTAGTGATCATATTTCAGTCATATGATTGAAATCCCCATAAAATAATAAACAGGCAACGTGTAAAAGACGATCATCGTTTATATTTATATTCCCGAGCTTAAGTTCTTAAAAATAAAGAACACATTCATATATTTCCTATAATTTTTAAGATACTTAAGAAATAATGTTGAGTGTTACAGCTTACATCATAAGAAATCGATGGTAAATTATTCAAAAAAAATTCTTGGGAGTGTTAAAAGATTGTTTTCCGCCATAAATACAATTGGATTTCACTGCGTAACTCCGATTGTTATAAAAACACAATCACATTCATCTTGAATGCGATTTCCGCCATTACCCTAGCGAGTTGTGACTTACATACATTACTAAAGTGACATAATCTAAAATGTAAATTATTATAATAAATGATGCAGACCAAAATACCCAAAGTTATAGTGAATTATTAAAAAATAAATTTTATGTAATATATGAAAGGTACTAATAGATTTTAATAGCATGTACTTAAATTATATTTATAATTCCCATGTACATATTATTTTCTTTCATGAGTGTTTAAATTAAAAATTATAAACGCCCTTAAGCAAAATGCTATATGCTCGCCGTAAATTAAATATAGCACATAACAAGAGTGCACTGCAAATTACAGTTTGCAATCATACGTGCACACATAACACGTGTTTATACATATTTGCGTTTAGGTAAAAGACGATAACGATGGCAACGACCTCATTCACTTCGGGGCTTTACTTTCGCATGCTATTTTAACTCGGCTTTATTTCTCTAGCGCGAGTGCGTTTATGTGTGCGAAATGGTCAATATACGATATTCAGAAAGGGATTCTTTGGATTTGTGTCACGCCCGTTGCCGCCCCACCGCGAACGAACCGAACCAAGTACTTTGGTCGGTCTAATATCGTATTGCATTTATTATTCATGCGAGTTTAGGTCGTGTCGTTGCTGGTCCACGGGTTATTTATCGTATAAATTCGATTCATTTTTTATTCACGGTTATTTATAAAGAGTTACTAGGACGAAATAAGGAAAAATCCAGTCCATTTCGTCGATACTGAGGTTAGTCAGGTTAATCAACGTCCCTAAGCCCGATTGCACTAAAAATCCCATTTCATGAAATACAGTGAGAATACATATTTACAAAGTATGTTAACTTAAGACCACACTGGTTTTTTTTCAGTTTAGTATATATTTAAAATCTTCAAAGGTTCAGTATTGTTCGATAAAAGTATATATTACTAGATATCTACTTAATTTGACACCTTAAATCGGAATAATATTTTATCAAAATAAATGAATTTTTTTAAGTTAAAATATTTCCCACTATGTACTGAATGCTCACTTCGATCAATCTTCAGTTAACTTTCATAGTCATCGAGCAAATAGGAAAATAGAATATATCACGAGGAAGTGCATATCATAATTATTAGTTGTTATTGCGAATAATCGAAAAGAAAAAATGTTGGTGTTAATTATTGCTAACTTAATCATAATTCTCTAAAAAAACGCCTTAAAATGTTTAATTATATCCTAAAAGTTAAAAAATTTTATGAATACAATATCAAATGGACTTAAAATTTATTTTGTTTAAACAATAGCTTATCCAATACAGCTAGATTATTACTTACTATATTTATTTTACTTTTATTAAATTATTATTAAATAAAGTTCAATTATTTTAAAAGTCAAACATAATTATTTATAAGTTTATAATACATAATAAGTTATAAATATTAAATATAATACATATAAATTAAATTATAACTATATAAGTCCATTTTACCATATCCTACACGCTACAGGTCCTTCTAGTTTTCTAAATATATATTTTTTTACAATAGTTACAATTGTTATTTATAATATTGATACTTTGTAGTCGATATAAGAATGTTTGCTTAGACATTTATGGCACTGAATTAAAGCGCATACATCAATACTCATATTGTACTATCTCAAAAAATATAAATAACATACATTAATTACATTATGAGTTTGAAAAGGCAGTCGACGTGATAAAATGAATCACCAAACCGTGACTGGAGGTACCATGTTACGAGTACATACATGTAGGTGCTTTAAGAACCTACTGTTTTTAACCGATAAACATGAATTATTGTGAATCACTCTGTATGTAATAATACTTTATATTATATCAACATAATATACTGTACGACCCATAAAGAGTTATTAATTTAAAGTGGTAAATACACTGCTCTATACACTGTCGCACAGCATCACTTAAATTAGTAAATTTTCGTCAGACACATTGTATACAATATATATCGCTCCCGACGGCCGTGCAGACGTCGTCGGTGTGGTGTGTGTGTATACGTATATTATACTCTTCGCCTATTCTCTCTTTATAATATTATTATTATTCCGAACAGTGGCTGTTATTCAACAACCTGAACTGCATCACCTGCCCTCCTGTAACTACGCGCCTGCCATATAGGGTTAGTTTTAACGGTTATTCGACCACTTTTTTATACCTGAATTCCAAAGACTATATAATAATTGCGTCACTGTTGTTGATCGGTAAGAAAAAAATCATTGCACACGAAACCGAGTATACCCATTCAATACGAATGTAAAACACATTTTTTTTAATAACGTCTTGATAAAATAAGATACCGTAGTAATAATAATAATAATAATAAAATTATTAGAAAAACAAATTCGGAATTTGATCCGTATAACAAGGGTAAAATATTATTTCAAAGTATACATTATTTTGTTTTTTATCAAGTTACATATTTTTTTTTTACGTATTATTTATTATGTAGGTATTATATTCTATATTAATTTAATACTGTATACGATATACAGTAAATAATATAATAAGTAATAAATATTTATTATTAAATCCAAGAACTCGAAAGAGAAAAAATAATGATATTAAAACTAATTAATTGTTAAACATATCATCGAACGCAAGCATTATTCAGTTAAGTCTATAATGATTTGATTTTATTGGCTGATTAAAATATAATACGTGTAATTACATAATAATAGCTTAAATTACCGTCATAATAACTTTATTGAATAAATAAATAAAAATAATCGGTTGATAGTTTAAAGTAAAAATGTTGGTAAGTACTTATTTGTTGTGGTTTTTTTTTTTTTTGTATAGGATTACGTTCAAAATATAATAAATAGAAACATTACGTAGAACTACCGCGGTGTACATAAACGATGACTCACAAAATAATACGTTTTTACCTAAAAATTAAAAATATAATTCAAATTAAGGGTTATTTTTCTTCATCTTTTTACCCGAGTGTTTTTCATAACATATCAATAATATTATGTTTGCTATTTCCGTGTATAAATATAAGGCAGTGTCGTGGTCGGTATACCGACATGTGTACGCGTTTAAGTTACGTCTTCCACTATTCCTGTGAAACTATACTGGTATAAATTCAATTACGAATATACCACGAATCCGTTGCTTAAAAAAAACCAAACGTTTAATCATTCACGCGATCCGGTACCGGCTTAGTAGAAATCAATCGATGTTCGTCGACGTTTTTATGTTATTTTTTTTCAACTCGACGAAGCCGATGGAATATTTCTTGAATCTAGCGTCGAATCTCGAACCGCTGTTATTCGTCAACCGTCCTAACCGTTTTACAATACGCTTGCAAACCCATCCAAGGGACGTCACCTATTAAGCCAACAACAAGGGCACGAATATTTTTCACACGACAATCGTAATCATCGCTAACGATATTGTTATCGCTGCGTTCCGCGTACAAATGTAATGTAACGACAGTAATAAAACAATATTGCCGTGTGTTTGTACAAGGCAAAGCGTTGCGGTGGGCGCCGGACGTACGCGGTAAAATCGCGTCTTCCATTAAGTTCCTAATCGCACTACCAAGAGCAGTACACACGCGCGCGTACGCGGACGGACGGACACGCGCGCGCGCGCGCACTAGCGCAGCACATCCGTACGCGGAGTTCGGTTTACGCGGCGGCCAGGCGAACAAGAAACGGTGCGAAGAGAAACGGACAATGTTCGTTACAAAACGGTCGAACGTTGCCGTAGCACACGCACCGGCTGTTGGCAGTCATCAGTCGAACGCCGTTCTCCCGCTTGTGCGCGTGCTCCACGCCCGGTTTGCCGAGTTCCCGCGCGGTGCCCGTGCGCTATCAGTCCGTCGTCCGCATTTGTTATCCGTTCGTTTTTCGAATTGTTTCTTTTCCCGTTCGGCACCGGACATTTTCCGATCCCAACCGCGATAATAATACGTGCGTTGAAAATATTTCTAAAAAATATTAACACCCCCCCCCCTCGTAGCAGGTGTCCTATCCGGTGTACGTGTTCCGTCCGCGGCCGTTTTACGAGAGTGTGTGCGCGCGCGCGCGTGTGTACGTGCGCGGTAGTGCGTCGTTCGAATTTGGATTTTCGCATCGTATTACCATCAATGTCATCGTATTCGTATTGAAGGTAGAACATTTTTTTTTTTTTTTTACGTCAACGGTGGTCATTTATTTTGAACGTTTCGCGTTTACCAACTACATTAATTAATGTCGGTTAAACACGATTTAAAATAAAAATAAAAAAAATCGACGAATTCTTCGCGCGTTGCTCTCAAAAATGTCTTCTTATCACTGATTGTATTATTATTATTTGTTTAAAATCATTATTTTTTTCTTCTTGTGGTGGTAACTGTACGTGTTCAATACGGATTTAGTGGTTTTACAATAATTTAAACGTAGTACTTACTTAGTTTAAGTGTTTCTTTTATATTATTTTTGTGCCCATTATGGTCGTTTATGATAATAATACAGTCATTGTCGTAATGGAAACATTTTTCACACAATTTAACCACATTTCATAAATCAGTTGGCCATTATACCTACTTATCTAAAACTAAAATCTATTGATAAACGCCCAAAAACAATAACGCACGATAATAATACCTACCAATACACATAACATACCTACCACTCGTGATATGATAACTTTCATACTAACTGTTATATACGTACCTATTACCGATTCAATTTGATAATAAGTGCGCGCCAAACGCACTGGAAAACTCAATATTACCTACATATGTATACCGGTCGTTAAGCCGTTACCACTTTACCGTATATTATTTTTTGTAATTTTGAATATTTGACTAGATATTAATTAAATATTAATAAGTATCAATTAATTATTACATCATCGTGATAGTAGTTGTAGTTCATTATAAATCTATCATATATACTTGAAAAGTCCAATGTTTTCTTAAAATAATATAAGTAGGTTTACTTATTATTGAATTTTAACGATTTGTTGTATTACATTGACACCGACAACGAACACAATAATAATTATGATGATTTTTATTTTAAGTTTTTGTTGAGTGAATGATTGGTAGATTCAAAATATAAGGAAATGTTCCTCGTTATAAATAATTATTATATTCATAATTCCGTATTGTTTATATCAATTCTGTAAAAAATAAGCTGTTAGTTGTATTCTTATTCGTGTTAAACGTGATTTTATAAAGAATAAACGCGAGAATAAATATCAAAACCAAGTAAAAAAATGCATATATTTAAGTCGTGGGAAATCAAAATATTTAATATTACTAAAGCAAATAGCCACAGTTTTATCAAGGATAATTTATAAGATAATTTATTAACTAATTTTCACTATATTCTTATGTAAACAATACATATAGTAGTAAGGGATATTAGGTTATTGGATCATTAATAATAATAAATGATTCAATATCTGGAGCTCATTTCTTTGGATTTTTATTTTTAAAATAAGATTATTTTGAACTAAAATATTGTATATAACATATTATACTCACACTTACATATTTTTTCTTTTACATTGATGTTTTAAACAATAATTTGCAATTATAAATTATTGGGTAGCTGAAATGCATATTGGATTAATTTAAGAAAACTATATTTTATTAAAAAAACTTCTACTCAAAAATTAAGATCATACCTAAATAAGTCTATATAGGTACCCCATGGAAAAATTCCTAAATAAATGAACTTAAAATATTCTACTCCATACATAAAAGAATTAAACGAAATTATAAATTCCCTTCGAGAATTTATACCTGATAAAATAAAAGATCAAATCCATAACATTTAAATACGAATTGAAATATATTTGAATTGTGAACTTCACTATAATCTATCTGTATTAATTTATTGAAATTGATGAAATCAAATTGAAATTAAAATTAATTGATAAATGTTAAAATCTAGTTTTTATCTCTTCTTTCAGTTAAATCCAAAATATATTTTGGCTTAGGATATTTGTATTTATGTTTTCAAATCTAAGAAATGATCCTATTGTATACAAGCCATTGTAAATTAAACTCATCTCAAATATTTTGAAAGGTAATATTAAATACTTTACTATTGTTTCTAGTTATGTATGATAATGACAAAAATATCGTCTTTTATATTAAAGTGAAAGAAATTAAATGAATACCCTGGCAGTTATTGTCTTTTTATATCCATTTTTGTATTAAAATTGAGACTTTAATTAATTATATTATTGTATAATTAGCATAATATAATTTCAATGTATCAATGTTATTGTTAAGGTTTATTATATACAAAACTATCGGAATTAAAAGTAAGTAAACATACTACGTAAACAATATTTATAAATTAATTGATTTCCAGATTCTAAAGTGTATCAAATGACCTAAATAAATCAATTTTAATATGAGATTATAACGATGAGTTTCATAATAAAAAAGTGCACCTTGAATTCATTTTTCCTATTTAAAAATAGAAAAACCTTGAAGTTAGGTCGAGGAAGATGAATTTCTCATTGTATTTAGCTGCAAAATATTTTAAACAGCGTTTTTTGTCCATTAAATGAATACTGTGGCTGTATATATGTATTACCATACCATCAAACAACAATAGTGTTCATTCACCTTGTGCTCAAAGCGCGTGTGTCAATGAAGAATAATAATAAACCGATTCCGTGTGGTCTTGGCCATAAAAAAAGTAAAAAATCGACTAAGCTCAAGAAAAAACAAAGTCAAATATATAAAAGCATATATAAGTATATATACTTTTACAATGGCATTTATATTATTTTTCTTTGCTTGAATAAAAGGATGCCCAACGATTTCCGGTACTATATATTTTTATCAAAATCAAAACTCAATAATTACGTAATAATATACTGAGTCTAAACGATTATTTAATTACAGATACACAAAAAAACGTGGGTTTGTTTCATTTTATAAATCCCATATATAATACAGTAAAATCATTTGAAAAGACCATATATGTGTTTGTATTCTTTGCCTCTATATATTCCAGAAAATATTGACTCAAATATACCTATATATAAATAGTCATGAAAATAGTTAAATTTTTAGTTAAGTCCTTCAGTAGTTGTTTTTGCTTAGTTATTACAAATTTAATTTTCACGTATATTTTGCGATTTACAATCTATATAGTATCTATATATAGGTAAATCTAGAAATATAAGTATAAGATCTTTATTTGTATTTATATTTATAATATTCATCATCAGTTATCACTTCTTTATTTTCATTGTAACTATGTATCTTATATATATATATATACTTACAATACTTATATACTATACTACTTATATATATGTATATATAAGTATACTTCTATACTTATATACATTTCATTCATCTTCAGATGAACTACTATCATCATGTTCTGAGTCATGCTTACTGTCAGCACCATAGCTTGTTTTACTTTCGAGTATTTTCAACTTAAAATATAACTCTAAATCTTCAGGAGATAGAGATTTTAAAAATATTTCCATCTTCTTTTGATATTGCGTTACACGTTTTTCATATTCATTCTCATACACTACGTGTCGCCATCCTGTTATACAGTTCCACTGATCTAAGTTTTTAATCGAGTGTTTTTCTTTTGGCGGATCACTTTTATATAGCTCAAAGGCGTTATTATACGGTAAAGGTTTTGGCTCATTTTTGAATACATTTAAGTGATGTCTTGGCTTTTTTGTATTTGTTTCACTTACGGTCTGAAAATGATAAATTAATTGTATTTACTGATACCTCATATTCTAAATATTAATTATTATCAAAAAACCATATTTATAATATTACTTTTTACCTTATGGATCAATTCATTTTTATTATCTTGACGTTTGCGTCGATTATTCAAATCCTTGGAAGGTACTGCCACTTTTCGTTTTTTGGAAAAACTCTGAATTATGTTATCAGACTTTCTTTTCCTCTTCAAATCCATTGTTATTTGACACAGAATTATCTTGTTAAATATGAACGGTTCGACAAAAAGTTTAATCGCTCAGATTAATACTGGTAATAAATTCGTTAACGGCTATTCGTGCGAATGATCAACTAAAGACGAAATATCGAGGATTTATTATTTTAAATAGTTTTTTTTTAACTATAATCTAAATACCATAGCTACACATTTTCAAGTTAAATACAAAATTAAATCAGATGTTTTATGAATATTAATAAAAAGTTTATATCTTACCTTGAAATTAAAAAATGTTAATTTATAGGAAGAAATTGAGCCGGTGGCTCAGGTAAAAACAAAAACTCCGGCTCGTACTTAGATGCGTCTTGTTTTAGAAAAACTTACGCATATGCATTTAAGTTGTAGGAATTGTTCAATAAATCTTTGTAGGTTATAATCGAGATCATACTTACAGATAATATAAATCAATTATAATTGTATAAATCTTATATAGTGTGGTTCAATTAATAGCAATTAAAATTCCTACGGTAATTATAATTCTGAATCTGTGAATCTTAAAATGTATCTTAAAAAGTTACTGTGTGAAAAAGTTAGTTTTTTCTTTCTGTGCAGTGTTAATGATGTTTCAAAATATTTCCCGTTAACCTTTAACTGTAATTTTATTACATGTCCAAACTCAACATAATATAGCATACTTGATGGACGTATTTACAAAAAGCGGATATTCAATTTGAATTTCAAATCTGAGAAATTATTTCTGAAGTATACATTTTAACCAGAGCTAAACATTAATTTAATGTAACAAACTATTTCATACATAATATTTGTATACAATTATTTAATTTAAAAATTGGCAATATTTAACGTAACTAACAATTAACAACTAACAGGACTATATACGAGTATGAATCGTGGTATAAACTTGGGTTCAAAATGTACAGATCATAAATTACATTTTTAGCATAGTAAATCTTACAAGTTACCAAATTTTTTTTTTTGAAAATAATGTGTAAAAATCAATGTGTGAATGTCGAATATAAATGCATATTAATAAATTATAAAATAATACTATAATCTTATTATTTATATGAATTTAAAATAGAAATGGAAATTTAGAAAGAGGAAGGTATCTTAACGTAAACTCTTAAGTTAGTTTGTTTGGATTATCTTACCATTATTTTAAATAATATTAGGAAATAAATATATTATGTTAATCTCGGTTGAAATTTT